GTGCCGGGGGGGGCCCGCCAGGGCCCCGCGTCGGAGCCCCAGGAAACCGGTGGACAAGCAAACCTTTCGCACGGTGCATCTGCCCGATTCGCGCGCCGAGCCCTTATGCCCATCAGTCGACAGCAGTCGCGACGAGCCAGACGTCGAAAGGCTGATGGGTGAGCGCTAGCTCGATCCAGAAATTAACCAGACCCTATTATGTGACGCGCCGGGGTGTCCGCCGCACCCCCGGCGCGGCCGGCGCGCCTGGCTGGCCGTTAATCGACGCGCCCGACGGCCGCCAAACCCATGGCGGAACCATCTCCCGTGGCGGGTTGCATCCGAAGGGTGCCGTGCCCATTCGAATGCGAGGTTCCACATGCGGGTTCTCTCCGTCGTTAATGGGCAAACCCCGTGGACGAAACTTAGGCACCATGCTAACGGGAACGTCGCTCTCCTTGAAATCCCGTAAATCCAGGAACGCTGGCCCTCGCTCTGACCACGCAATCCCGTGAATCAGGCGCTGAATCAGTCCCTGGTCGTTTAGACCACCAGCCGCAGCTGGGGCCCTGATGCGCGGTGGCGCAGACTGGCCACCGCATGAGATGCCCCCAGGCAGATGGGTATGTCCTGGAGCCAACTGCGGCTTCACCGCGTGCTCCTTCTGCGCCCGACGCCGGCAGCACTCCCGGCAAAAGTCGGGCATGGACAGGGCCCCAGCTTGGGGGGCCAGTTAATGATTGGGCCCCGAAGCCTGAAATATGGATTGGAAACACTAACCAGGTCTGCCGTAGCTGGTGCTTTTCGGGTGACGGCAGTTCCGGTTAGTGGAATGGGATGAGGGGGGCGTCCCTAGTATAGATCATTAAACCAGGTCCCACTAAACCCAGTCCTGCAATCGCCCGAAAACGGGCCATGGTGCCCCGCGCTGCGAACAGCGCAGAATAATCCACGTCATTCTAGGGTGGCCCAACAAGCAGAAGCATACCAGAGGGGCAAACAACTGGGTCTGCTCCTGCTCTCTTGCCGAAGGTGTCAACGCTTGTGGCCTCAACTGCCTCGACGTCCGAGCGACTCCCGGGCCCCCCCGGGCCCAGCGCCGCAGCTGAGGCGCGCGACGGCGAGTCGCGCGCGCCGAGGTCGACCAGGGCGACGCGGGCGCCGAGCAACCAGGCAACGCGGGCAAGCAGAGACTGCTGGGTCTCGAGAGCGCCCAGCACCATCGGCCCAGGGAAGCATTTGTCTTCAGGGAGGAACCCGGGGCCATGTTCGACCCAGTTTGGCATCTCTCCAATGCAAGAGGTGCTTTCGTGTTCTACCTGGACAATGGCATCCCCTGCCCTCAAAAAAGTCAGGCCGCTCACCGTCGCAGCGAGTAATGTCGGGCTTCGCTGGGGGGCAGAGGCGCGCCGTCAACGTCCAGCGCATCGGGCTACTCATTGCTGGGAGATTCCACAAAGACGACACCAGGTGTGAAGAGGCAGAGTTCACATGGCGAGCCGCAGTTCCGCGCCTGCAGCCCCTCCTCTTCGACGTCCTAACAAGTGCGAACAACGCTCGCGGGGTCTTTTGCCCCTGCGGGCCAGTAGCCTCAACTCTGTAAAACAGACGCGGATCGAGATTGCCGCCAGGTCCGCCGCCGACAGGACATGCCAGGTGGCTCACTAAAGCGGCGCTAGTATTTTCAGGGCCAGGTACAGAGCCAGCGCCAGATCTAGGGGCCGAACTCCAGCGCCGGGTCAGCCCCGTGACCGCGCGCCGCAGCGTGGCGCCGCCGATCGGCAGCCGCCGAGGCCGCCGCCGCAAGCCGCGCGCGACGCGATCGCGGGCGGGGGGCGAATGCAAACCACCCTCGCCACTTGGGCCGCCGCTGGTGGCGTGGGAGCCGAGGCGCGCGGTCTGGCCTCGAGATCCCACCTCTCGGCAGGGAGGTAAAGGGGAAGCAAGCGGCAGTTGGTCAAAGACGGGGGTCGCCCGAGGCAGGGAACAACCCCCGGCGCGGACGCGTCCAGCAGGCAATCGGCCACCGCGCGCGGCGGCAGCGGCATCGGCCGGCGGTGGCGCGGCGCCGCCTGCAGGTGCCTCCCGGCAGGCGCCCCGCGCAAATCCTTGTCCAGGACCAAACACGCCCCGGCTAATTTGTTCAGGGCCAGCTCGTGAGATTTCGCCCGCTCCGAAGACTGTGCCGGCTCCGAGGGCTTTCCCAAGCGAGGCGATGGCAAGGCGCGACCCGCCGCAATCCGGCGACGGCAGGGCGGGGCCCGAGGCCCGCAGCGAACCGCGCGGGCCAGCCATGGCGCTGGGCGACAGCTCTGCAGCACCGAGCTTCGCCGCCCAGGCAAACAGCGGGCACTTCGCAGCGCGGGGAGGGGGGGGGCAGTCCGCCCGCCAGCGCGGTCGCCGCTGGCAAGGCCCTCTTCTCCAGGCCAAGCGGTCCGAGCCTGTCTGCGGGCCGAGTGGCGATGGCCACGCCCGCGTCGCCTGAGCCCGGGGCCGACGCCCCTCCGCGGGCCCCCGCCAGGCCCCGGGCCCACCGGGGCACTGGGCATGAAGTGCTAGTCCACGTTGATCTGGAGACGACGGAATTGCCCGACGTCGACGCACACGGGGCGGGCGAGAAGGGGCTGGGATCAGCCGATATCGATTGCAAGGCGGACGCGCTGGACAAGACGGACAACGAGACCGGCCGCGGCGCGGGCCGAGCGCGGCATCTGCCGCGGGCGCCAGGCTGATCGTCACGCCCCACGGGCCGGGCTCACTTGCGGGGGCTTCCCCTTTCTCCTCCACGAGGCCGGCGGTCGGGCCCAGCGGGCCCGCGTCGTCCTGCGCAGCGCAGCCGTTTCATTCAGTCACAACGGACCTGCGCGTGGCGCATTGATGTGCAAGAAAAAATGCCCGTCTATCTTCTCAAGAGTGGCTGGGTGGGATTGCAGGTAGGGAAGTGCGTGTCCGTTATTTCCTGATTGTGGCACTGGCATCCAAGAGCTCGCCGTGTGCGTGTCTATATGTTTGCGTTTGTGTGTAATTATGTCTGTGTGAAGGGCTGTGTGTATGTTATATTCATATATATAGCTCTCTCTACCATTACCTCCCTCTCTTTCTCTCTTACTCGCGCTCTCTCTCTCTCTCTTTTTCTCTCAGTCTCAGTTGTCCTCTCTCTATCCCTCTTTCTCTTTTTTTCGCGTTTGCCTTCTCAAATGGTTCTCACACGCGCATGTGATGTTATTGTTTAGATGTTGTGTTCATCTCTCTTTCATCTGTATAAAAAGCGTGATGGTCCCTTGCCACACACACACACACTGTGCAGGCGTGTTGCCTCTTCCTCCTCTTCCACCTCGCCTCCCCCCACTGATCATTCACATCCACCTTGCCCGACCTATCTCTTCCATAATCTAATCTCCGCTTCCCTACACCTTGCCTATATCCACCTATCTTCTTGTTATCTCCACTTTGTCTATCTCTCTCACATCCACCTTGCCCTACACGCTTTCCTCATCTTCCACCGTCCGTCTCCCCCTACCCTTTTCCCGCTCTCCCTCCCCCTCCCCGTTTCTTCTCCCCGTCTGCTTCTCCTTTTTCATCTTGCGAAAAATATGCTCACGAAACCGAAACATGCACGGGGAGTGGACGTCCGAGCGATGGAGACCAGGGGCAACGTTGCGAGGGGGGGATCGGCGCAGGGAGGGATGTATCGACCCCCGGTCGCCCATGGACTGCCGACGGGGGCCTGATAGCTCAACCCCGCCCAGGAACGTGCGGTTTCGCTGCTGGGAGCGTGTCGCTGATCTATCGGCGACGCATAGCCGATTCCATGTCGATGCTTCGCCCGCTGAGCCGGTCCCCCCCTTAACGCCCCCCTCGTTTCCTAAGGCGGGGGTGCGCGCTTTGGCCGCATTGGTCGTCATCTGGACTCTGGACCGTGCCTTCCGAGAATGAAGGCGGCGGGCTGAACGGCTGCGATGGCCGATGGGCGGGGCGGTGTGCTCTCGGCGGTGCGGGGGCCGTTGCCCGTGTCGAAGGCGCACGCCCAACCTGGCGCAAGGTGCGCCGTCGCGCAGGCTTCTTAGATCCCTGGATGTTGTTTGCAGGCGGCCTGCCTCCGCGCCGACTCTTCGTGCCCTGCGACGCCGCCGATAAAACATGCTCGCAGGGCGCTGCTTTTGCGTTGACTGCACGGGGCGTTCAGAGAGCCCCCGCCTTAGATTCATCTTGGCTGGAGGCCATGTCCACAAGCTTTCAGATCATTGCTTGACAGCAGCGGTGGAGAGGCACCCGGCGCGGCAGCCATGGCTCGGCAGCGGTCGCAAACGACGGCTCCGCCTGGCCAAGGGGCTGGGCTGCCTCGAGCGGTGCCGAGAGACCCCGCGGCGCTTCTCGTGTTGTCCTCGAGCAGGGGGCGGCCGCAGCCAGCGCCTCAAGCAGCTCCGCCGCGCTGTGGCCCAGCCTGGCTCGCCGCTGCCTCCCTCGAGCCGCATCCCGGGCGGCGCTGCCCCGCGCCGGGGCGGCGGGGCGGCAAGGGGCAGCGGCGCGGGAGGCGGCGGGAAGGGCGGTGGGCCGCGCTGCCCTGGGGGGCCGCTCCGCGGCAGAGCGCCGCGGCACGAGATCTCGGCGCTGCCCCCGCCTGTCGCGGAGGGCTTCGGCGGCCGTCGCGCGACAGCGCGCGATCTCGGAAGCGCAGTGGGAAGGGATGGGTGAGAGGGGTCGGGTGTTCAGTACTGCGCGAGCGCACTTGGCTTGCGCCTTCCTCCCTCTGTCTCCCTTCCTCGCTCCTCCGTCCTCCGTTCCCCCTTGCCCTCCCGCCTCCCCCAGCCTCCCTTCTCCCCCGTCTCCCCCCTCCACTTTACCCTCCTGCGCGTTTTTCGCTCCGTCTGCCTCTCGTCTCTGCCGTTGTCCTCCTCCAGCACCCCCAAGCCCTCGGATCCCTTGACACCATATCGTCCAACCATTGTTTTCTTCAGAGTTCGCTGGACCTCTTCACATCATCAGTGTCGTTCGGCTTGACTTTTGCGCGCCACCGCCAGGATGCCGAGGATTTCGACGGTCTTGTGCTGGGGATTTCGAACGGCACGCTGCTCCTCGGGGCCCTCAGCTTGGTCGGCTGCGGTGTTCTCGGGCTCTTCTGCTTCTTCGTCGTGATGCCCATGCTGGGTGCAACGGCGGCCGCGGGCGCGACTGACGCCGGCGCATAGCGATCAGTTGCCACGACAGCCCGTGCCGCGGAAGGGGCATGCTCTGCCACAGTCCCGCGCGCGCGAGCTCTCTCGCAGATAACCTGCATCCTGCAAAGGCCTTACGGCCAGTTCCGCCGACCCAGGGAATGGAGAACAGCTTGTGCACAAGAGGCGGAAGAGCGATTGGGAAACTGGGCAGTGGCAGCTTTGATGGGAGGGCCGCCACTGTGCGCTGATCGCGTGAAGGGCTTTTGAAACATTTTGGGTTGCCTTGGGGGTCTTCTTGGAAGGCTTCTTGGGGCCTTTGCTGTCCAGATGTGCGTCTTGGGGCCTCCTAGGGCCTGTTGGGAGCCTAGAGGTCATGTTGGATGGGTTGGCTTCCAGCGGCGCGGCGGTGGCGCCGCTTGGGCCCTTCTTGAGGCCGTTTTGGGGGCCCTTGGGTCCCTCTTGGGTGCCTCTTGGGCGATCTTGGCCAGTCTTGAGGGTTCCTTTCGAGGAAGCTCAAACATGTATCGGGGCGCGTGGATTAGTGACGGGCCCTGATCCCATATCAAATCGGCGCCCTCCTTCGCCAAATCAAGCGGCATCGGCGCCATGTTTCGGGGGCTACGTTCCCCGGTCCCCAGATCTCTGTTCCATGGCAGCGTGTGCCCGATGCTCGGGCTGTTTTGCACGCTCTGGCGATCGATGTGGCGAGAATGTGAACATCATGTGAAAATCTACGAAAATCGGGCTGGCGCCTAGGGCTTCCAGCACAGCCCGAGTTCCCCCCCAAGAGCACCACCGGAGTTAGCCGAGGCTGGCCCCGAGAGGGCCTCGGCGGGTCTGGGTAGCTCAAATATTACCCCCAAGATCGCCCGAGTGACTTCAGGGAGGATGAAGGGACTGGCGGGGTTGGGGGTCACCACCCCTGGGACCAACCGCCCTCCCCCACCACCCTGGGACCCAACCGCGTCTCTAGGACCCCCCCCCGCTCGGCGGGAGAGGGATCAAAGGGAAGTGGCTTCCCTTCGATTCGATTGCGACCTGGGTCGACTCACACCCCGGGCTGGCGAACTTGGAGAGCCCCAGGTGTCTGCAGGAAGGGGGAGCTCCTGGGGACGATCGTGCAATGAATACGTAATTACATACGAGCCATAGATTTTAGGCTAGCGCGAATTTCTTGGATCTGCGCTGGCGCCGCCTCTGGCGCCGCCCCTGGCGCGCTGCGCGTGCGAGGGTAGGGTCCAGCGACGATCCGAGAAGTCCGCGCGGACATTCGACAGTTTACGCTGGTGCCTTTTTTCTTGCCCTACGACGGGGCCCCAGGTTGGCCACAGGGACAGGAGAGCTTCGAGTGAGAAAACCCTTCGCACGCGGACAGGGCCGGCTGACTCGACGGCGTGACGCTGCTCTTTTTGTGGCCTCCCCGTCGTCCCTGGCCTCGGAGACTCTGTGGAGGCGCGGTCGGGGGACGTCAGCTGACCACCACGCCGATCCTGGCCCGCCCGATCTTGGGCCCAGGATCGGTGCGTCCGCCTTCCTGGGCTTGGCCAGAGGGGCGAACGACACCGATTTTGGGCCCAGGGTCGGCCAGGGCCAGGACAGGACTGGTGTAGGAGGTCAGTTGAGCGACGGAAGGAGACGGGGTCCACTGCGCTGACATTCGCGCGCACGCTTCCTGCGTAATGCTGCGCGTAAGCGCCCTCTTATCCACGCGGCGTGCCATGCTGGTGGGCCGCGTAAGCCACCGTGCAAGGTCGTCGTGTCATCGTACGTGAGGCAGAGTCTCGGCTGGTACCCACGGCCACAAGAGTGCCGCCCAGGATGTGCGGATGAGGCATAGGTCGGGGGCGCCCAGCGGGCCCGCCCGGGGGCTCGGCCTTGTGCATTGTGGGGCTTCCCTGGCCTTCCCAAGGGAGGGCCTCGGGAGGGCCTTCCAAGGCCCTCGCGCGAGCCTTGGGAGGGCAACCCCCGGCGGCTGCAGGGAAGCTGGGAGACGTGGCCGGGGCCAGCCCTTCCACTCCTTTCCAGCCCTGGCCAGTTTCCCTGCAGCTTTCCAGCCCTGACGGCCTCGTCCCAACTGTCTTGGGCCAGCCCTGGCCACTTCCACTGTCACAGGATTTCCTGCTTGCGTACCCCGGGGCCTCTCGGTGGCCTCGCTCCCGAGGCCTCCTGGCGGCTGCCTGGTGCTGCCCGGGTAGTCTCCCAGAGCCCTCCAGGGCTTGGGCAAGGATGGAGGGCGGATCCTTGTCAAACGAGGCTCTCGCCTGTGTGGCAGGCGCCTGGGGCGCTCGTCTTTCAGGGGGGGGCGCTCCCCGGAGTGAACAGGAAAGAATACCTGCAGGGTTCTATGAAGCGGGATTCGGGACGGGAGTGCACGGGAGCACCGTTGACGCTGTGGTGGTCGCACAAGCTCGCTCGTTCGCGGGCACAGTTCGCAGGTGGCAGCGGGAAGCGGCGCGCAGTGCGCATCCTGCAGGTGTACGTGGATCGCTTGGCAGGCGCGCGCGGGGCAAGTCCGCGCGCGCGGCCCGACGGGGCGTGCGCGCGCCGCGGCGCCGCGCTGGCAACCACGGCATACGCAAGACGGGTGGGCCCGCTGCCTTTTGCGCTCTCCCGACCCACCCTCACCTGGCGCGCCGTGTTGCGCGTGTTGGGTGCGACAGTGGCGTTGCGTCTAGAGATGTCAGGCCTGGGCGCTGCTCCTTCGCCGCACGCCGCAGTGGATTCTACCACGGAGGCGGCGCCGCGCCGCAGTTGGTTCTGCCGCTGGTGCGGCACTCGCGAGGGGGGGCGTCGCGCCCATCGACGGACCATGACGCGCCTGGGCGCTTGTCGCCACCGAGGTGTGGTTATTGTCCCCCTCCGCCTCGTCGTCCTCGCCGCCTCGTCGTCCTCATTCTCCCTCCTCGCAGCTGCCGCCGGTAGCTCGAGGGGCCAGGAGGTATAAGCCCCTCTCCCTACGCGAGGGGGCACCCCGCCTTTCCGCGATGGAGCAGGGGGAGCGGCGCAAGGGCAAGAAACCGCGGCGCGCGGGCGGAGCGGCTGGCGCGCCCGAGGGGGCCGAGGCGGAGCAGGCGGGGCTTGGTCGCTGCCGCGCCCCGAGGGTGGGGAAGGGGCGGGGGGGGGCGGGTGGGTGATGATGAGGGGGGATCGTTTTTCCCTCCTCCCTCCCCCTTTCTCATCCCTCCCTTTCCCCCCGCTCCCCTTCCCTCCTCTCCTCTTCCCCCTCCCCATAGTTCCCCATTTTCGTCTTCTTTCCCCTCCCCATCCCGGATATCCCTCCTTCACCTTCATAGGGCGAGGCCGCGGGCCTTGCGATTCTCAGGCTGAAGCGGCACGCGGCGCGCGCGCGCGCCGTATGGTCCCACTTCTCTACGCATGGCGTTGTATGGTTTGCTTGGGCTCACCGGTTTATTTTCCCGGGTCAGACTTAAAATCCCACGTCAATCCACGTTCCATGCGCCATCCCGTTTGGTACCGCAAGACATGTCCGTGGGCCGAGCTGGGCGCTCCATTCGGGCACTCTTTTCAGCTTGCTATATTGGAGGTCCTGAAGGTTACGCGAGTACGGCTGCAAGGTTCGAGGGCCGGTGGTTTTCGATATGCGGAAAGTTTCCAGCAGTTGCGAGGAGGTTTGGGGCGGGCGTTTCCAACATGTGGCTCTCATGCGTTACCGCCGCACGCAATCGGTTCAAACGTTTCGCTCCGCGGATTGAGGCCTTTCCGTTTTCAATATGGGGCTGTCGCTTGGGATCTCACATTAACCAGCTGCTGGCAGCAAGTCCCGCCGCCGTGCCAGCCCAGCATTGTGGGTGGCAGCTGTTCGAAAGGGCTGTGGGAACCGGCTCGTGTGATACATCGTGTTTCGACGCTTGGACGAGCCGTGATTAGGTGATGAGGACAATGGGGATGCTGCGGGTGATGACGAAGCTGTTGATGATGATGGTGGTGATGTCGTTGATGATGATGATGATGATGATGATGATGATGATGATGATGATGATGATGATGATGATGATGATGATGATGATGGTGTCGGTGATGTTGATGATGTTGATGATGCTGGTGATGATGATGTCGATGGTGATGCTGCTGCTGCTGATGTTTGTGATGCTGATTACGGCCATGATGATGCTGCTGATGATGATGAGGATGGTAAAGATGATGCTGATTATTGTTATTATGATGATGCCATTGGTGGCGATGCTGATGATTAAGATGAGGACGATCACGATGATTACGACCATGAGGATGACGATAATGTTGTTTAGTTATGATGATGGCGATGCTGGTGATGTTGGCGATGCTGATGATAAAGATGAAGATGGTGATTGATGATGATGGTGACCATGCTGAGTATGATGATGATGCTGATGCTGATGATGATGCCGATGATGCTGATGTCGTTATTGATGCTGCTGATGATGCTGCTGAGATTGACGGTGATGCTGATGACGACGATGCTGCTGCTGATGATTATCATGATGATGACGATGATGATGACGATGGTGGTGGTGATGATGATGATGATGCTGATTATGATGGAAATGACGATGATGCTGATGATGATGCTGCTGATGTTCATGATGATGACGATGACGGTGGCGATGATGATGCTGATGATGATGATGAGTGCAGACTGTACGTGTTTCCAGGAAGCGCAGCAAAGCACCTGACAGTGCTGTTACCCCTGCAGAGCATCGAGGACTACGAATGGTGTTTGGACAACTGCAGTGGTCTGCGCGAATGATTTGCTTCGAAGAGGCGTTCGAGGCATCCCGGTTAGCATCGACACTGGGAGCTCCGACGGCGAAAAATCTTCAGGACGGAAGTGCAGCTATCTGGAGAATCCAGAAGCGTGACGACTTACTGATCAAGTTCAGCTGGCCTGAACCTGTGGAAAACCATGGTGATCAACGTGACCGACAGTGCTTTCGCCAACCTGCCGAAACACAGATCGCAACGAGGACACTTCGTTACTCTAGGGGGCGAGAAGATCGATGAGGACCGCGGCAACCAGTACAAGGTACATAGCTTTGGGGGTGGCAGTCTTCAAATATTCAACGAGTGGTGTGCTCTACTCTATCGGCGGAGGCATAGTCCTGTGCAGATTCGGTGGATATGTTGATTTGGACAAGGTCAGCCTTGGCGGATATCCTGTACCCAGAGATGGATGCGGCCGAGATCGTGCATGACACCTGCCCGGTGACATGCATTTCGGTGACCGACTGCAAGAGCCTGTATGACATGATCGCGAAGGAGAAGGTATCTATGACAGATCGGAGACTTTCTCTGGAGGCGGTTATACCACGTCACACAGTAAAGGAGGTCAGTATCAAGTGGGTCAAGAGCGAGCAGATGCGAGCGGACTGTCTGACGAACGTGCTTCCAGGAGGCTGCGCTAGGAAGATTGGTATCTAACTTGCGGACTCTTGGGCCCGATGACAGAGCACCATCATCGCGCGGACGGAAGCTAGTTGGACCTGAGAAGGTGGCAGCGAACAAGGGGGTCGACGACCTGAACGCGAGGATGGCTACGTACGTCAAGAAGCAGCTGTGCTACTTGGCCGGTGGAGACCTACAAGTATGTGAACGAGTGCTTCAACGATGGCAAGGACGAGAATTATGACGAGACCGAGTACGTCGAAGCATTCTACATGGACGATGCGACTGACGACTCCCCAATGGACAGGAGTGGCGCGCAGCGAACCACCCAGATGCCTGACCAAGGTGCAGTTCTGCTACAGTTCTGTGCAGTCGCAGTGTATTGAGTTTGTCTTTCGATGTCTCCTGCGGTGGTGCCGTTCGTCTCTATCCTTGTGGGAAGTGCCAGGTTTATCTGCATTATGCAGCCTAAGCAGAGTGACGACGAGGACTTCGGTATGGCATCGATGGGGGTGGACAGTTCAAGCAGCGACAACATTCCCCAGGCGGAGGTGCCCAAGCAGGCAAACCTCGAGACAGCTACACTACGCCTGAAAGCGGAGCCTGAGGTGGAGACGCACTCCGACGAGATCACAGAGGATGGACATATCTACATGGGGGCAGTGCTCTCCTGAGGCAGTGGTTGGCTACATTGGGACCGATGCGCATCGAGAGTGGCAAATACGAGGGCATCAGCTTCGCAGACATACGCAGCAAGGACAAACACCACGTCAATTGCTTGGGCTGTTGTCTAAAGCTGGACGCAGATGAGAGCAGGAGCTGCAGTCTTGGTTCGAGCATCGAGACTTACGTCGCCTGCAGCATCATCAAGTCAGGCCAGGTACGCTGAGACTTCATTACCAACTTTGTATGTACGTTGGGTGATGGAGAGATTGTTTTGAGATGTCACTACCATCTTTGCGTTTACATTGGGTGGTTCAAGAGATTGTATTCATATTCGCTACCAATTTGGTATTTGCGTTGGCTGAGTGAGGAGATTGCGTGCGCACCCTCTCACGTGAAGAGATGATGAGCGCACGCTCTCAAGTTAAGGAGTGATGTTTGCATCAACGTTTGGTCGAATATCTTGATAGTGGTTGCTGGAGATTCGATGATAATTTGATATTTGTTGCTCAAGATTTGATGTGGTATCTTGATTGTTGTTGTTCGGTGCGCGGGCGGCTTTTGGCCAGTCGAGCCGACAAGCATATTTATGAATATTCTGGGGGTTTGCTTCAGAAGTTGCTACGCATGCTTTAGCAACGTTTCCTTTTCCTGTGTGAAAATCAGATAGGCGAGGATGTGCGGTCCAGGGTGATAATGAATTATCATTCCCTTCCGCCCGTGGCCGTTGTGGCTCACAGGCTGGGCGGGGGGGGGTGGACGCACCTATTCACGATTGCGTTGAGTACTGAGATAAATTGATCCTATATGTTTTGCTTTGTGCTTGCATCAAGTACTGATGGGAGGGGTGCTGTGATCTGTATTTACACTCCGTGTACAGGAGGGCGTGGTGTTCCGTGCATTGCTCGTCGCATTCGGCGTAGGGCTGCTGATGCTGGGTCCCGTAGCACTGCGCACCGTAGTGGTTTTCGATTCCGTCGTGATGTACTGAGTCCCAGTGCCGGTCGCGTAGGCGCTGCTGGTGGACGTGTTGCTCGTAGCTTTGCTTGTTGAAGTCGTGAGTGTGAGGCTGCTTTTGCCCACGTGCGCGAGCCCTGGTGAGCTGGCCATGGACCTCATTGCGCTGCTCGTTACATTCATGGCGGTGGTCCCTGACGTGCTGATCGAAGTCATGGTGCCCGTCGCCCTGCTCGTATCACTCGTAAGTGTGAGGCTGTTGGTACTGAATCCCGTCGTGTTGTCCATCGCCGTTGTGCTCAATTCCGTCGCTCTCCCCGGTGTCCAAGTGCTGGTCGCAGCCGTGTTGCTGAAGGACGTGTTAGTTTGGTGGACTGTTCCTCCAACTCTTGAGTGGGAGTTTGCTGGGACTGAAGCTCGTCGTGCTTCTCGACGTCGTAGTGCTCGATTTCGTCGTTCTACACAGTGACACGATGGTCGCAGCTGTGCCGTTCGGGGATTTGGTGCTCATTTCGCTACTCGTATCACTCTTTGATGTGTGGTTGTTGGTAACGGATCCTGGTTTGATGCGCAACGTCGTGGTGTGATCCCGTCGTATTGCACAGTTCCGAGGCGCTGGTCCTTGACATGTTGCTCGAATGCGTGATGCTTGTTGCTCTGCTCGTCTTGCTCGTAAGAGTGAAGCTATTGGTACTCGAGTCCTTCGTGCTGGGCAGTGCGCGCGGTCCCCCCCCCCATCGTCACCCTCCAGGATAAGGGGAAAGGGAACGTCATGGCCTTTGGTCCCTGCGTCCTCTTCTTGTCCGCGAGCCCTGGTATGTTGTTCGTGAGCGTGAAGAAGCGCACGAGGAGAGCTCATGGCGATATGCGCCCGAGCGGAGCCTGTTGAGGCGCTTCCCCTGCCCCCGGGTGTACGTGGGCCCTGTCGGTGCCGCAGTCCCTTGTGCAACGTCTGGCGTCGGAGGTGCGAGCTCAGGCCCTGGCACAGGCTTCCGCATGTGTGCAGGCGGGCCTGGTGTCTCCGCCGTAGATCCCGCCGTCGACGGGTCTGACGTCTCTGCTGACCTGCGTCCTGCCGCTGGCGCAGGGTTATCCCTCGCTGGCCGCTGCTGGGAGCGAGGGGTCAAATTTGACGCGAACATGATGGTAGCATTGCCACTGGTCAGCAGGACCACCCAGTCATGGTTCTGATCCCCCGTGCGGCCAATGACGGTGCCGGGGTTCTTCTTTGGTTGGTGACCGTTGCCTCGGTGCCTTCCTGGATGGGCGGAGGCCCAGGTGGCAGGACGAGGCTTGTGGCGTCGGGCAGCGCTTCGGCCCTGGTGGACCTTGCGTTTGCCCTGGTGGGCCCAGGGCGCAGGGGGTGGTGCTGTCAGTGGCGCTTGCCGCTCCGTGGGTTTCACCGAAGCCTCGTCTGGATTCGCCTTGGGCTCCACCCTGGCGGGTGTACCGAACGGGCTTGGCGGTGGCTGCAGGGGATGAATCCAGGGTCCTCTGGTGGCGGTTACCCCCACCGAGGCAACGCGTTGGGAAGGCGACGGAGTCCCACGGATCCTCGGTCTGTGCGTTTGGGCCCGGTGGGGTGCTCGTGGATGCCATCGGCGTGTGGGGACCCCGTGATCGGCCTTGCTCCACGGCGGCGATCGGGACGTCCCGATTTGGTGCATCACGGCTGATGGGAGGGGCGGTGCCGTTGCCGTGGTGGGCGTCGGCTGCGGCCGTGAACCCTGCCGGGCCACGGCTGGTGCCAGTGTTTTGCTTCAGGGAGTGATGCAGATCGGTGTAGGCGATCATGCTTCTCCCGCACCGTTTACGTTCGCCCCTGAGCTTACGCTGGTCAGAGCGAAGTTGAGGGTAGATGTTGTAGATGTTGTCGATGCCGACTTCTTGCTTACGAGCAATCTCGTTATGAGCAGCGACTGTTTGGTCGACGCCACCGCTTCTCTAGAGTGCGGCGATGCAGGTTTCCTTTCGGGTGACGTCGGGATCCTGCCCTGCCTTTGGGCGACCCGTGCCTGGTGGCTTGGGCTCTGGTGGCAGATGAAGCACGCGGCGAGGGCTCTCTAGAACAATTGCGGCGCGCGCGGGCATATGAAAGAGGATGTGACACGAATCAGTCCTGTGGTGAGGGCCACATGCCCGGTCTCGCCACGCTATCTATAGAATGCTGGGGGGCTTCGTGTCTGGAGAGAGGAGTGGCGTGGAGAGGTACGGCTGTGTCAGGGGATAGGGGGAGGAGAGGAGAGCGCCAGGTTGGGGTGCAGATGACGAGAGGGAGGGAGGGAGGGAGGCAGTGGAGGGGGGGGGCTGCAGGGGATGAGGGGGCTTGGGGGGGAGTGGACAGGGAGGGGGACAGAGGGGGAGAGGCGGGAAGAGGATGACAAGAGGGGGGGAGGCAATGGCAAGCAGACGGTGGAACGGGGAGAAGTTCGCGGAGTCGGTTCGCGCTCCGCTCAAGCCAGAGTGCGAGGTCGCGGCAGACCTTTTCCGGTGATTCCCTTCGATTGCCATCTGCCAGCGTCTCAATCGGGTTTTGGCCGCTGAGGGAGGGAAGGGGGATAGGGGGGAGGGAGTTTTGAGGGATACTTGCGGGAGAAGGGCGGAGTGGAAAGACAGAGTCGTGGTGGTGCTTGACGTTTCCCTAGCACCAGCGGGGGCAGCGACTTGGCGCACAGTGATGCATTCTGCATTCCGAACTCTTTTCCTAAAGCTTGTCGGAGCTTGGAGTGCTGCTATGGGCCTTGCGGTGGGCTTCAAACTCAACGTCGTGTCGCAAACCTCCAGGACTTTGTGCGAGTCGAGGCGACGAGATCGACGGTTTTTGATCCATGCCAACATTGACCAGAGCACGTTCTGCCTGTCGGCCGACATCCAGCTCTTTCTCTTCCGAAGGCTCCCCCCCTTCCTCACTCCCCCCATCGCTTCCTCCCCCCCTCCCTGACGCAGGGGGACAGGACCAGGAAGTTCCATCCGCACGAGGGGCCCGGCAAGGCCGTGGCGGGGACAGCTCGCTGCGGGGCCCCTGTGCGAAACCTCCCCTGAGTCCGGTTCTCGGCCCGGCTGGGGAGCGGGTGAAAGCTGCAGCAGGGACGGCCTGGCAGAGGAGGGGGGAGGAAGGAGGAGGGAGGAGGGATGAGGGAGGAGGGATGAGGGAGGAGGAGGAGGAGGAGGAGGAGGAGGAGGAGGAGGAGGAGGAGGAGGAGGAGGAGGAAGAGGAGGAGGAGGAGGAGGAGGAGGAGGGGGGGCGGAGGGCGGTTGTGGTCGTCGTGCTGGTGGCCGCGATGGTGGGGTCGGGGCGGTGGTGGACGTGCTGGTGGTGGCCGTGGTGGTGGTGGTAGTCGTGGCGGTGTTCGTCGGCGCCTGTGGTTCTGATTGTGGTCGTCATGGTTGTGGGCGTCTTGACGGTGGCCCCCGTCTGGTGTAGTGGACTGCCTCGCGGTGATGGTAGCCGTGCGGTGTCAAGGCGGGAGAGGGCGTCGTGATGGGCGTGGTAGTCGTCATGATCGCTGTGATCGCAGAAGCGATTTTCTCAGCGCTTACTTGCCCAGGGCACTGAGGATCATCCCTGCGTTTCTTTGCTGGAGGGTGCGGGAGGTGTCGCGCCAAATCCGGCTGAGAAGCTCGGACCGCTCGGCGTCCTCCAGGCAGGCGCCGTAGCTGCGCGCGAAGCTCACTGCCTCGTCGGACGGCCCCCCCCTGGTCTCGAAAACCATCGGGACGAGGTCAAGGCCCTCCTGGCGGGGGATAGTGGTCGCGTTTGTCGTCGACGATTTGGGCAGCCGCGAGACCGTGTTTTTTGTGGAGCGGGCGAGCCTGCGTGGAACGTCGGTAGAGTGTACGCATGTCACCTGGTACTAGGGTTGAGTGTCTGGATGCCCAGCTGGGGGTCTGGGGGTTACCGCGGTCCCAACCTGGCACCCGTCGTTGTGTTGGTGCAGCATGGCCCGTGATGTCCCTGTGCATCGTAGCATGTTAGTCACTTAGCTGGTTGTGCTGGTCGGTTCGAGAGTTGTCCACCTCGCATGACTTGGCGTGAAATCCATGGGTGTCGAAGGGCACCCCGCACAGCGTTCGATCTTGTTGTCGGTGTTGGCAGTGTGATCCGGCGGGGCAGACCAGCACTCGAAGTCGGCGCATGAGCTTCATTTCGAAATGGACATTTGGTTGAAGAGGGTCACCTGGTTGTCGCGGTTGAAGGAAAGCTCCTGCGCCAGCTCCCCCGCTCTCCCGTAGCGCTAGCCGCCCGCCTTCGGAGAGCTCCCGCAACGTCGTTCTCTGATTTTTCTGGAAGCTGCCTTGCTCCACGGGCCCTGGAGTTTGGCTTGGGACTCTTTTGAAGGCTGTGGGCCCACTCGGTGGGCTGACCGGCTGTCGCCCCCGAGGCTTGCAGCGCTTGCTCACCTTGGGCCAGTGCCTGGAGGGTCCACGGGCAGCGTGTCTGGAACCGCGCCAGCGTGCGCACGTCCAGACACTCCGCCACGTTGTGGAGGCAGAGCGCCCCCAGGGCCTTCTCTCGGGGATGGGCCTCCCGCTGTGTGCCGACCCTCCCAGCAGGTGCGCAAAGCAGCATCTTGCCCGTGGTGCTCTGTGCCCCCTCGCAGTGCGACCAATACCCTCTGCTCCCCTCCCCTCCCCTCAGCGGCGGGGGCGGGGAGCGGCTTCCCCCCCCTCCCCGGAGGCCGCCGCGGTGGAGAAGCCGCCGAAGAAGAGGCGCAGGGTGGACGCGGAGGCGGCGGGCGAGGCCCAGGAGGAGGCGCCGCGTTGGCGCGTCGGGGTGGGGGGACGGAGGGAGGGGAGGGAGGGAGGCAGGGGAGGCAGGGGGGGAGGCAGGGGGGGGGGCGAGGGCGGCGGGTGTAGCCACCGACAGGCAGGACACTGGCAGTGACAGAGATTGAGTGGAGGGAGGGCTGGTGTTGGACGGGGAGGAGACGGAGGACGATGCTGAGGAACAGGGAGGAGGAGGAAAATGGATTAGGAGGATGAGGAGTGAAGAGAAGAGCGACAAAAGGATAGAAGATGGGTGAGGCATGGTGAATGCCAAACAGCGGAAGTGACCCCGCAAGCGTGCAAGCAGACAAGCGTGCACTCGCAGTTCACCGGGTATGCAGGCGAGCAGCCAATCAATAGAGCAATCGAGGAAACATGTTGCGATGTAGAAAGAGTCTGCCTGGAGGACGGGAGTCCTACAGAGTCGACAGAGTCTGGCACGTGAGCAGCAGCATGAAGGCAGCAGGCAGCATTGTGCGACCGCAGCCTCCGAGCGGCCCAGTGCCGCAAAGGCTCGAGAACAATGTGAAGACACAACTCATTGTCGCAGATCTCGGCCTGACTCGTTCCAAAGTCGGTCGATTCTTTCAGCGAGGCGGGGCCCCGCCGCAGGAGAAGTCCCACAATCGATCCACGACCAGGGAGACGACTAAGAGACGACGACGACAAGGGGAGGGTCACACAGCCGATCGATGCCTCCAGATGGGTGGGACTTTAGCTGATTACCTTATTGATCGTATCCAGGCCCGGTTTAGGTCCAGCCAGGACCAGTGAGGTGCTCAGTTGACGTCCCCGACCTCCGCCGATGCGTTTTTTTATGGTTCGCGGACCCGACCCGTTCCCCAGGGATACCTTTCCGTCCCAGAGCCAATCTTGATGGCCCTGAGGCCCGATGACGGGCCCCAGGGGCCGAAATCGAGGAAACACGCAGAGGGACGTCGGCCCCAGACGCAGACAGATCCCCAGAGATCTGAGCCCGTTCCCCTGGATCGGACTTTCATCCCGAGCAGTTTTTTGGACGGCCCCTGGACCCACTTGGGGCCCGCGAAGGCCGAGACCGCCCCCAAAACCGTCCGCCGCGATTCTTTCGCGACGTGAGGAAAGGAAGGGAAGTGAGCGAGCGAGCCAGCATGCGTCCAGGTGGGTCACTAGGACGCCGCCGAAGAGGTGAGAGAAAGGGCCGCAGCGGCGGCCAAGTAGCGCCGGCACCTCCCACAGGTGCAGTGCCTCCACGCTCTGGACAAAGAGAACTGGCTAGCGGCCAGCCGCAGGGCCACAGAGGCACAGACATGGAGCGGGTGCGGGCACCTCCCGAAGGTGCAGTGCCACCACACCCCGTCCATAGGGATCTCACCGCAGCGCGGTGAGGGAGGACCTCCAGGAGGAGCGGTGGCTCGGTGAAACCGTGCCACCACTCACCGTGCCACCACTCGCAAGGGGGAACGGAATATTGCAACTACGAGCAGGATGCGTAAGAACCATGTCCGCACACAGCCACAACTACAATCAAGCTACTGATCGCATACGTAACCTCAGGCGGACTTGTCGTGACGGTCTTGCAGCCAGTGCTGCCCACCTTGTATGTGAGGAGGACGGGGAGACGGAACAGGTGGACGAGGAGGGGGGAGGCTTTTGGGTCTTCGGAGCCTCTTGGGGGGTCTCTTGGGAGCTTCCTGAGGGTCTCTTGGGTCTTGCTGGGGGCCTCTTGGGGGGCCTCTTGGGACCTCTTGGGGCCTCGGAGACTGGTACCGAAGATTCCAAAGCTCCTTTCGAGTCCTTTGTGTGGGCACGCTCTTTGGCCATCTTGGAGTTTTCTTGGGCTGTCTGGGGACCCTCTTGGGTCGATTCGGCGCCCTCTTGGAGACTTCTGGGGCGATCTTGGGGCGATCGTGACGGCCTCTGGGACCGTCTTGGAACGTCGGGAAGCCGAGAAGGCGAGAATACCCAAATCTTTCAGAACAGAAAGAACATATACCTCTTTGGGCTCTTTTCGGAGTGCTATTGGAGGCCTCGTGGAGCGTCTAGGAGGTGCCTTGGACCGTCTGGAGGCCACCTGTGGCGTCTGGGACGAGTAATTCTGCCATTCGCGGCCCTCTTTCTGATTTCGAGGATGTTCATGATGGATATCTCGTGAGGGGTCTGCTCGAGTCTCCCGTCCCTGCAGCCTGTTTGGCTCGGCAGCGGGCGGGTGGGTTTTATATAGCAGGCGGAGTACCGCCACAGGACGGCGCGGCTTGGCGCGCCGCCGCTTCACATAGCGAAAAGGGTTCGCATCACATTCTTTATTCTATTCAGAGACTTACGTCACGAACGACGGTGACGAGAAGGGCTCTAGGGTGCCCTGGTATTCAGATTGGTAGCGAGAGCATAGTGACGACCACGGTCTACATTGTGGCGATCACGATCGACGACAACAATGTCGAGTGGCGTGACTACGACCGGAGGAGCTGCTAGCGGCTCAGCAGCACTCCGATTAGACGTCCCACCATGGGACGGAGAGCCCGACAAGCTGCTTGCATACAAGTTCGACGTCGGGCTCTTCAGCAAGAGCTATAAGGTGCAGGACAGGTACGTGGTGGGACCCCAGCTGGTGAGAGCTCTGGGGGCAAGAACACGTAGACTGGCACAGGCGTGCCCAGACATCGACAAGATCGACGAAGTCACCGACGAGGGCAAACTGTCAGGATGGCAACGCGTCTTCGACTACCTCTTGTCGAAGCTTGACCTGTCCAACGTGAACGAGATGGGTAACTCTGCGGAGAAGTTCTTCAACAAGCTCCAGCGGGAGCCGGGTGAGGGCTTCCCCGACTGGACGGCGCGCTGGGAGGCGGACGAGCGTGACCTCTTGTCGCAGCTGAAGGCGGTGGACAGCTCGGTCGAGGAGGTTATCGCAGCGCCGCTGAGGACGTGGTGGTACCTCCGCCGATCGCGCCTGAGCCCTGTGGCCAGGGGCGAGATCACCGCTACGGCGGGGGGCGACTACGAATTCGGCAGTTTGTACAAGGCGCTGTGCACGAGGTACCCGCTGGAGGCGCTAAAGGGGGTCGACGGGGTCCGCGAGAAGAAGGACAGGCGCGCGGGTTTTTTTCGGCGAGGCCGAGGAGGCCGAGCAGGAGGACCGCGACTTCGAGGACAGGTCCGCGATCGCGGACATTGTGGACCAGCTGGTGAACTTAGCGGACGCGGAGGACTCGACCCTCTTCGAAGACTCCGAGCTTGTCGACGACTACGAGGACGGCATCTACGCGGAGTTCAGGCAGCTGGGCAGGAACTTCAAGGACGCGAGGGACCTCATCAGGAAGCTCAAGGTGGCGAGGGAGTACTACTCCGTGCTCGCTCCTCGACTGGCAGAGGGGCCCCCTCGTCCTCGACAACTACGCGATGGTCAACGATCTTCTCGTCAGGACGGTGGTCAAGAACCTGCGCGTGACAGGCGTAGGATGAGATGTCTAGCTTGCCGCAAGTTCGGACACCAGGCGAAGGACTGCCCCGAGAGGACGAAGGACCGCGGTAAGCCACAGCCCAACGAGACGACCTCGTTTGCGCTTCTAGAGCTCGGCGACCTGGTGCTCCTCTTGGACGACGTGGGCGGCATCTGGGCGATCTTTGACTGCGGCGCCACGAGGGGCCTCATCGGTGCGACGATGGCCGGGCACCTCATCTACGACATGGAGGAGAAGCACAACATACTGTTCGACGTGGTGGAACGGACGCGGCACTTCACTTTCGGCGACGGCAGGCGCAAGAGCTCGATGGGCACCATGACGGGTGCCATCTTTCTCGGTGACGACCAGGAGAAGATCGAGATCTCGATCATGGACAACGAGGTGTCCCTGCTGATCGGCATGGACGTGCTGGGGCCTGATGATACCAACGCCCTCATCGACTGCGGTAACGGATACCTGATGCTGCCGAAGATCTCACATCACGTCTTCCAGTGCCGGAAGATGCCCAGTGGTCACCTCGCCATCAACGTGGCGACTCCGACGCGGTGGCAGAACATCCCACAGAGACTCCCGAACATCGTCGGAATCACACAGTGCAACGCCATGGAGGGCGAGGCTGAGACGCCCGCGGTCGTGGACGTGGCGGTGCTGGAGCTGGCGCCCGCGGCTGGCGCGGGGGCCTCGAGCTAGGGGCAGCACCCTCTGGATCCGAGAAAAGTTCCTTCCTCTAGTCCACTGGGGGGGCCCAAGAAGATTCCAGAAAAGCTTCGCACCCTCGAGAGATCTTCAGACTTCCCGAAGCTCGAAGACGCTGACAGGGGTCAGGATGTCCTCGCTGTACCCCCTGGGCCTGCTCCTACACACCCAAGCCTCTCGAGATCTCCTACAGCATCTCCCACGAGGGCATCTTGGGGACCATCTTCGGGGACCACGAGTTCGAGGGCAACGATCAAAGAAACCGAGACATCTCCAAGAGCGCAGACTAGTACGAGCACGAAACTCCCGACACGGCAGTCTGAGCCTCCTCCCGATCCTGATGATTTGGATGCGCACCGAGCTCTTTCGGCTCGAAAGGGCGTTCAATCAGGAGGAGATCCTCAATATTCATCTACGCTTCCATATCCAGCGGATGTCGTGCCGCCGTGGCACCATCTCGTCGCCTTCGGGCATGCCACCACCGCCATCCCCTACTACGGAGCATCCGCGAGATCGCAGAGCGACTCCTTTCACGTCAAGGCTGCCGACAACAGCCGAGGCGAGCACGTCGACGTCAGCTCAGATCCAGTCCGGGGCCAGGGTCATCCGAGGCGAGTTCTGCACCCCCAAAGGATGTGACCACGAAGGCTGCTGGATCGGACCCGACCGCCACCCTCGTCCAGGCGGCCAAGTCCAAGGCGCCGGCATGCCAGAGGTGCGGCTGCTGCAGACAACCAGGTCGCGGCTGTGGGAGGCCGGGTACCCGTCGCTGAACTTCGCGCAGAACTACCGTCCACCTCGTCGGAAGAACGACCCGCCACAAGCAGGCCCCCCCGAGTGCATGATTCCCAGGCCGGCGAGCCCAGAGGCCAGTTGGCGGTGCAGGTCCGAGGTGATCTACCTGAGGTGGAGGCGGATGCTGTCCAAGATCCCGAAGAGACTGGCGAACGACCCGTCTTCGGAATCCTTCGAGATGCTGGACGACTCGCCCGAGAAGGAGATGGCCAGCAAGAGAGGGCGCGAGTGTCCCTGACCAGCGAGGACCTGGGCATCATGCAGAAGGCTATCGATCAGTACGCTCGGGACTACACGAAGGAGATCGGCGACGACGTTAACTTTCTGTCCCGCAACGGCCGCTACGACCTGCTCGAGGTCTGCACGCCTCCGAAGTCTCGTCTTTCCCAGGCGGTGATCGACCTCGGTGGAGCTGCCTTCCGAGCTGGGGTGCGCAACGGGTTCGACATGGCGACGAAGACTGGAGTACGACGGCTTACTCTGTGGATTCGGCAACATCGGCCTCGACGCATCGTCATGAGTCCTCCGTGCACCGCGGACTGCCAACTCCAGAACTGGAATAAGAAGACCCCCGAGGACTGCGAACGTCTACGTAAAAAGGTGCAACAGGCTCGTCGGATACAAGCTGTGTGCGAGACCATCATGTCAGTCGGGCTCCAATTCCGTGGGGCCGAGATCGACCTGGAGCAGCCGCAGAGATCTCATAGCTGGGGACGTTCGGATGCACTGAAGCGCATCAGGGAGCAGACCTACGAGACGCCGGTGTCTGGCTGTGCTTACGGCCTCCGCTGCCCCCGCCGCGGTCTCCTCTTGCCCAAGGTCTGGGGGATCTGCTCTACCGACCCCGAGCTGCAGAAGGCCATCGGCAAGCGCTGCAGTAATCGCCCTGGTCGGCATGACAACCACGAGCATGGTGAGATCATCGGGGGGAAGGTGGTAGCGGCCACAGCGTTCTACCCCGAGGCGTTGTGCAAGGCCTGGGCGAAGCGTGCCGGAGGTGGTACTACAGCCGGAACCTCAGCTCTCTTGGCGACGGACCAGGACACTGACGATGGCATCTTCGAGGGCATCGACGAAGACGGCGACCAGGAGATGGAGGAACCGCAGGCGTCAGACGAGGAGCTCGACGAGGATGACCTCAGGGAGCTCTCCAAGGACGGCGGCACGCTGAGCACCAAGGAGGCCCAGGAGATAGAGCACCGCCTCAGCCGACTTCATCGCAATCTGGGTCACCCCAGCGTCCGAACCATGTTCAAGATTCTCAAGAACTCGGGCGCGAGCATCCAGGTTCTGAAGATGGTCAAGAAGTTTAAGTGCCATGCCTGCGACTCCTCGGTGTTGCCGAAGGCCGTCAGAACGGCTGCTGGCATCGACATTCCCGAGGTCTTCGGGGTGATGGGGAGTGACGGTCTCGAGTGGACCGACCCTGTGGACGACGCGACCTACTTGTTCACGCTGAACCTTGACGAGGGGTCTGGACTCACGCAGATCTTCAACCACGGCGACAAGTCCCAGAGGTCCGGCAACCGATCAGCAGCGGACCTCCTCGAGACCTGGAGATCGTGGACGAATCACTACCGCGCTCCTCGCCTCATTCGCTGCGACGCTGAGGGATGTCATCGAGCGGAACTGACCAAAAGCTGGTGCAGTACGCGCGGGATCGAGATGTTCATCGCTCCTGGCGAGGCGCACTGGCTAATGGGCAAGGTTGAGCGCAGGATCCAGCTGTTCAAGCTGACTCTCACTAAGTTCAGGAAACAGAATCACGACTGCGACATCGACGAGGCCATCAGCCAGGTCACGCATGCGATCAACGAATCAACGATCTTGACAAGGTCGGGAACCATTCACCCTTCGTACACGCCTTTGGTACTGGAGGCCATCGGGGCTCAGGCAACCCCTTTGCCATCGTGGACGACTGCAACGGAGAGTCCCGGGAGCAGAGGCGACTTCTGGCACGTCAGAGCTTCGTCGAGGTGGAGTACTCAGAGCGACGCCGACATGCAGAACATGCCCGCAGCCGCGTGACTACTCGCTGGAACACCGGCGAACACTGCTACTACTGGCGGAAGGGCCGTGGGCCTGTCAAGGCAACCTGGTATGGTCCTGCGCGCGTCTTAGTTCAAGAACAACGTGTACTTGCTCGCTCTACACGCCCAACTTCAGTCGTGTGGATCTCGCACGGGGATGTTCTACTTCGGTGTGCTCCTGAGCAACTGCGTCCAGCTACGGAGGCCGAGCGAATGGTCGTGGAACTCAACAACATGGAGAGACGCGGGGCTACCATGTCCGACTTGATGGAGGTCGCCCGCCGCGGAACGTTCGAGGACCTCACTAACGAGAGCCGACCACACATCCAGAACTTCGAACCGCAGGTGATCCAGCCGTCTGAATCACCTGAGGACCATGACGATCGGATGGACGAAGAAGCTGCTGAACCTGATCCCTCGGACGGACGTACGGAACCAGCAGGCGAGCCGACGCCGCCTGAATCGTCCCCGCCTTCCCCTTCAAGTATCTCCTTCATCGAGCAGCCTGTCTCGAAGCAGTCTCGGTTAAGTTCACCGTCCAGAGCGAGCTCGGCCCCACCTGCGGAACCACCTCATCGACGCTGGCGCATGGCCTCCAAGGGCGACGAGACCACCTACCGACAGTCACCTGCTGAACGACGACAGGACCGACCTGGGCCCTACTCTTGAGGGCAAGCCAACAGTCGAGGACAACGATGAGGAGCTCTTCTCCCGGATCACCTTCGACGGGAAACGGGGCGGCACCGACTTCGAGCTGATCGACGAGAACATGACGGCCTACTTCGAGATGGTCAAGTCCGAACTTGCGGACAGCCAGGGCGGACGTCGTTTCACTTCTCAGATTCTGGACTGCTTCGTTGCCAACCAGAAGCGGAAGGATAAGATCGAGTTTCACTGGGGAAAAGCTTTCCCCCTCCGAGAAGGCTGAGTTCCGCAAGGCCATGACGAAGGAGGTCGCCAACTGGAAGCAGTGCAAAGGTCTCCGTCGTGTGCCCGTTTCCGAGGTAAAGGACCCTGCGGACGTGATCAGGCGCCGCTGGGTGCTGACGCGCAAGAGCGATGGGACCGCGAAGGCGCGCCTCGTCCTCCTCGGCTACCAGACCAAGGACATCGGACAGGAGCCGACTGCCTCACCAACGGCCTCGCGCCGCGCTCGGAATCTACTCCTCACGGTCGCGGCCGCCAACTCCTGGAGCATCGTCAAGGGCGACGTGACCAGTGCGTCCCTGCAGGCGAACGACCTGAAGAAGGATCTCTCCGTGGAAGCCGACGAGGCGCTATCTGCTGAGTTTGGCGCTCAACCTGGCCAAGTGCTACGCGTGGTGAAGCCGGGCTACGGCATCGGCGAGGCTCCTCGCAAATGGTGGCAGACGGTGAAGCAGGACTTCGCCAAGCTGGGATTGCAAGCGTGCGAACTCGAACCATGCCTGTGGAGTCTACGTTGTCCCGAGTCCAAGGCGCTGTTGGGGCTCATCATGTGCCGCGTGGATGACTTCATTCTCTGCGGTGACCGAGACCATCCTGCATGGCGGAAGGCGCTGAAGAGCATCAAGGACCTCTACACGTGGGGCACCTGGGAGGACATGGACGACGGGATCGACTCCATCGAGCAGTGCGGCGTTACGATCGTGAGGAACGAGAAGGGTTTCTTCCAGCACCAGCAGGGCTACATCGACAAGCTGAAGGAGATCTTCCCGAAGTACCCGAAGGCCAAGAGCGGCGACCGATTGGCCGAGGCGGACCAGAGTACTCTGAGAACTTGGTGTGGAGCTCTTTCTTGGCTTGGTGTCAATGCACTTCCCTGGGTTTCAGCATGGGTTGCCGATGTTCAAAGCAAGATACCCATTGGTGACTACAAGCTCTTTTCGACATCGAACAACATTACCAAGATGGTCAAAGCCAATCGGACTGACGGCATCCAGATCTTTCGCCACCAACTGCCAGGATGCGGACGAGTTGGTTCCGATTTTCGTATCTACACCTGGTGCGACGCTGCTTGGGCCAGCCGACCAGATGGACATTCCCAAGGAGGTCACGTTACAGCTCTCAGTTCGGTGGAAGGACCTTTTCAGGAGGCATGCGACTTTACCGTCTTGGACTGGGGATCTCGCAAGCTCAAGCGGGTTGCCAGGTCCAGCCTGTACGCAGAGATCCAGGAGGCCAGCGACG